GCAATGGGAAGGATGTTCAGCAGCGTTCTCACCAACCACTGCCAGAACTTTTTTCTGTTAGGCTGCTCTTGAACAGACGAAGCACAGGGTAATTTTTGATAAGAAGGTAACTAGTGGAGAGATTAAGGTTGCCTTTTACACCTAGAATGGTACCTGGCCTGGGGCAGGCATTCAGATCATGATTGTTGAATGACTGAGCGTGAAACATCAGTGAAACTATCTTATTAGTTCCATGACTGAGAGCAGTACTTGGTGTTACCAGTGCATCGCTTCTTGTTTCTTTGCTAACTAGCCTGCTAGGAGGAGGGGAGTCCAAACAATTTGTCTGCAATTAAAAGACAAAATAATTTAAAAACACCTCCACCATCAAAAAGCCAGCCAACCAGAATTCCAGAGATCTCTAGTCAACAGGTGGCACTTGGAGTCACTCAGATAATGAGAGAAAATTACTTAGGAAAATTTGAAACTTTATACTATGAAGACTTGAAAACAGTGCCCAGAGAAATGTTTATAAAATTTATTAGCATATGCATTGATTTGTGCCTGGGGAAACTGAGGTATTAATGTGAAGCAGAAAGATGTTTAGGAGGGCAGACAGTAAACTAAGAGTGCAGGACCCAGCCTGCTCTCCCAGCAATCATTAAGGCCATCTCATTACTCTTTTTATTTTTCTAATCTTATCTCTTAATACAATATAGAACTTGCCATAAACAACTTTCATTACTATATTATCCATCTGGTTTGTTAAGTGGAGATAATGTCAGGACTCCAAAGGTTATTAGGTAGATTAAGGTCATGTAGAGAAGTGTTTAATACATGTTCTTCCTTCCTTCTCTCTGCCTTTTGAACAAAGGAATCATTGGCGAAGAAAACTTGAATAGACTTGGGCATGATGTGGGAATGAATGGTAGAGAAAGAGTGGGGATGTTTTAAATTATATGTAAAATGTGTTTTTTAATTATTTGTGGATTGAAATTATTATTACTGTTCCAACAGTACCGCAAATAAGTGGCTAAAATTTGGACAAAAGACTGTTCATAAGTTACTTGCCAGATGGTGGGTTGAAAGAGATTCTTCTCTAAGAATTGCTTAGCAAGCAAGTCTTCAACTTCGCCTTCGCTTAGCCTACACACTTTGCTTGGATTAAATGTTTAAAAATAAAAAACCCCATCCAGGCAAAAAAATTTCCTTTAACTTTAGAAGAATCAAAAATCCAATGGAGAAGAGTTGCTTTCATGTTCCTATTTCATAGACAGTTTTAAAAAGCCTTTAGTGCCTGGGTGGGGCCCAGTTGCACTCTCCACAAGTACACAGGCTAAAAGTTTAAATTTGTCATCCTCTGGGATTTAAAGTGAAACCATGTACCAAAGAAAAATGGTGAATGAGTCACTCACATGTGATCTTACAGGGAAGAGAAGGATTCAGTGTAAGAATGTGTCACAAGGCCATCAGACCCCTTCACAGTGAAGGGTAAGAAGTGCCGGTCTTGGGTCAATGTTGTGCATCTGAATGGAGACCAACTGCCAGGTTATGTTGGGGGTCTCAAAGAAAGCATCTGGTCATGGGGTGAATTCACCATGGTGTCGCCTCTGGCAAGAGCAGAGAAATCGTATTTGTTAGCACATCCAGAAGGGATTCATCTCTTAGGGACAGGTTTGTATTTATAGGCTTATCACTCATAGGCACTCACATGCTTGCACACATGGTTAATTTATTTATTTACATTGAAAAATATAACTATTACTTAGAAAAAAATCCTTATACTGCAGTACTTTGTAGTTAAGTCCACATAGGAAGCCAAACTCTAGTCCTGAGGTTCCTTGGCAATCAAGGAATCAGAGTAAAGAGTTTTAGATAGATAAAATTCATCTTCACAGTAGGGGAATGTCTGACGCCTGGAGCATTGATCCTGGGGCCACGCCAGCCTTTCTTGAGGCCAGGGTTTTGAGAAACATTTTAGAGTAAACCTCAGTGATGGTTTTGGGTTGAGCTTGCATTGCTGTTGGACAGAATTTTTCTTTAAATGTGTCTAACAGCTTTTGGCCAGCTGATTTCATCTTGAGAGCCATTCTTCCTCCTTAGATGAGTTTTGCATATCATTGTTTTCATGATTATTTACTGATTTTACTAGTCGGTCTCATTTGCCGGCTGTCCAAAGTCTGGGTGGGTGGGGAGGAATGTATCACACTGCTGTCTGCATGATCTCCTGCAATGTTACCAGGAGTGGGCCTTTTTCATGTGTCTGCAGTCTGCCGTAAGGACTTAAGAAACTTTATGGTTGAGTCTGCACTGGGTTGCCAATTTCTGGCAGTGATATAATAGGGCAGTATGTGGAGTAGTGTAATAATTGTCCTTCTAAACATCCTATAGAAAAACAATAGGGGTGTGTTCTTGACACACCTAATTTTTCTTTATGAATTCATTGTAAATTATTTCTGAAAGTACATGTAATCTTAACCTGAAATAGATTGAACTTATTTATAGCTTAAGGCTTCCCAGGTGGCTCAGTGGTAAAGATTCCACCTGCTGAGCAGGAGGCATGGATGGGTTCAATCCCTGGGTCGGGAAAATTCCCTGGAGTAGGAAATGGCAAACCCACTCCAGTATTCTTGCCTGGAAAATTCCATGGACAGAAAAGCCTGGTGGGTTACAGTCCATGGGGTTGCAGAGTCGGACACTACTTAGTGACTAAACAACAATTTACAGTGTTATTATTCCCTTATGCAAAGGAATATGTATTCCCTTGGGAAAAGTCTCTTATGTTGAGTTACCAGCTCTCTTTCAGTTGCTCTAAAACTATGTCCTAAAACCTTCGATAGCCCTGTCCTGAGCCTAAGGTATCTATTTCTCTCTGTTTAGTTGCTCAGTCATGTCTGATAGACTGTTTAAAATTAGAATGTGGCCCCTGAGCTGAAGTTTGTTGATCCTTGTTCTATACCATTATCCTATTGTATTTTCATCTAACTGGTATCAAATTGTCTTATGTAATCGTCTCTTGATTTGTTGTCAGTCTTTCCTGAAACACTGTAAGCTCCTTGAAGGCAGGTTCCTTGTCTTATTCACCATATTATCTCTATCAGTTAAAACAATGACTGAGATATAGAGGTGTGTTACGAATATTTAGTGATTGAGTATATAAATTCAGATAATTCAGGAGCCACTAAATCCAATAATGTCTTCCTTACAAAAATGTCATGTGTAAATCCTGTCCCAGGGGCCACATCCTGCCCAGATCTTTGCCTATTTTAGTATAGATCTTTGTTCCTGTATTTTAATAGTATCTCAAGCCTTCCTGACTCCTTGGCTTTGACTCTAGTCTACCCCCTAGTATAGTAACTTGCTAAAGTATGTTTTGTCTTACATTATTTCTCTGCAAAACCCAACCCTTTCACTCTTTCCCCACTGCCTACATTATAAGTCAAACTCCTCAGGTGGATGTTCAGGCCATTAATAATCAATTCCCCACCTGCTTTTCCACCCGTATCTCTGAGCCTTCCCCGGAAAGAGCCCTCTGCTCCAGCAGCCTCGCCATCTCATTGTCCCTGAAGCCATCCCTGAAGCCACGGCTTATCCCCACCTCTGCACCTTTGCTCAAGCTGTGCCTCGTAGCCAGTTGACATTCCCCACAGGAAGGGATTGACCCCCTGGTCAAACGCGGTAAGTCTGCAGTGAGTGATGGGAAACAAGGAAGAGGGAGCTGAGCCTCAGAAAGTGGAAGATGAAGAGTGACTGTGGCCCAACAGGACTCGGTGATAAAGTTGGCCAAGAAGGACGCAGTTATTCTGGGGGAATGGTAGAACAAGGCTCCCTGGTAGGATTGGGCTTCCCTGGTGGCTCAGCGGTAAAGAATCCACCTGCCAATGCAGGAAGTGTGTGTTCAATCCCTGGGTCAGGAAAATTCCCCTGCAGGAGAAAATGGCAAACCACTCCAGTATTCTTGCCTGGGAAATCCCATAGCCAGAGGAGCCTGGCGGGCTCCAGTCCATGGGGTTGCAAAGAGTCGGGCACAAACTCAGTGACTAAACAATAACAACAACCTGACAGGGTTATCTAGGCCAGTGATTTTCAAACCACTGTGCAGACGAATATTCTGGGAATCTTGTTAAAATGCAGATTCTGGCAGTAGGTCTGGAGTTGGGGACCTGGGATTCTGCATTTTAAAGAGCTCATAGGTGATGCCCGTGTTTCTGGTTCTGGAGTAATTCTTTGAGTTCAAGGATCTCACCAAATGCTCAGAAAAGGAGCCTTTTCTGTAGGACCTGAATGTGAAAATAGGAAGCTAGTGAGTCTGCCCCACAGAGGCTCATCTAAAGTAAAGACATTTCTTGCATTCTAAATGACTGAAAACATGTGTGATGGCTCAAGGCTTCTTGATGGAGGGGGTGCTGAAGAACCGAGGGCAAAACTGAGTGGGTAAGGCTGTAGCTTAAAGGGAAGAAGCACCTTTAAGTCCTGAGATGGTGGCAGTGACAGTGGCCATTGGGAAAAAGAAAGGTCTAATGTGAGTTGGGCCAGTGGCCTGTCACCACATACAAATGCATGCGCGCGCGCGCACAAACACACACACACACGCGCGCGCGCGCGCGGCTCATTCAGGGTAAAGGCTGGAGTGCAGCACTTTCCCCCTGATGTAGTCAGATTATCTTTTGTCTCCAAGAGGCACCTCTTCTGATCCACTAACACTTCCAGTTTAGAATCTAGGCTTGGCTTGAGTTCAAGTAATGTAGCTCATCCTAACTAAGCAAGAGGAATCATATCTGTAATGTGTTATCTACAAGCAGAAGAGCAGCTAGGAGACTGTCTGGCATAATTCACTTGCCTCTTAGAACAGTTTTTCTTTAATGATTAGCTTGGCTCTTGTCTCTTTGGCTAATCAATAGCTGCCCTCTTGATGAAATTGGGTGTTATTTCCCTGTGACTTAACTTTGTACAAACTGTGAGTTATCTTGATTAATGATTTTAATGGCACTTCTCTCATCCCCTCTGCTTTTATCACACAGGAACTTCTGCTTGACTGACCGAACCGTGACCCTGACATAGAGTCATAATCATGGTAAGTTGGGGACGGGCTTCACCCTCCCTGGTGCCAGCCCCAGACAGGTACAGGATGTGTAATCAGGGCCTGCTGTCTTATACAAAGGGTTGTTTGCTCAACAGAGGGGAGGGAGGAGGAAATGGAAAGGTAGTTTCTTTTTTTTTTTTTTCCAAAAACACCTTTTCAGGGCTGGTGAGTCACCTGAAACACTGGTGAAACACTCTTTCAGGGCTGGTGAGTCACCTGACCCTGAAAATTAATTCAAAGAGGGACTCCTTTGAATCCTTCTAATATCTTGAGATGCAGAAACAAGTTATTTCTCTCTGCAGAAGCACGATGTGTTCGTTGTAGAAACTGTAGGCAAATAAAAAGGAAAAATCCAAAATCCCACCACATTTCCCAGCAGATGACTGCCATCCACTTTGGGTGCTACCTTATCATTTTAGGCTTATCAGAGTGTGTTAGCTTCTCATCCACCTCCTGTTGCTAGCTGTGGCTGGACTCCTCTGAGCTTCGTTATCTGATCTCTGGGACAGGCAGGGAATTGGATCCCTTTGAGGGTTCCATAAAGCTCCCTACTGATGCGGAAGCTGAGCCGTTCAGCTGCAAATGTGGCCCTATGTGAGGCTGGCCACCTGCTCTCCTTCTCCTGCCCAAATGAGGAGAATGAGAAATGAATGGGCAGGTGATGCTTAATCCCTGGTCTTCTGGGAAGAAATAATAGAAGTAGAATCTTATACCCAGAGAGGACCTGGACATTCTGCCAGCTCTTGATGCCTTCCTTTAGGAAAATGGAGGTGTAAACTATACAGAACAAATAGTAATATATGTTTAACTTTTCTTTTCATTAGATATTTTAGAATTTTCTTCATCATCCCTGACAGTCAAAGGCTTACTCATGTCTGCACCAAATCTCTTATGCTTTCATGTAAAATCTATTTGTTCTTGATGGGTTCTCCCTGGACGTGTACAACGTTTATTCAGACATGTTTATGGTGTCCCTACTTTGTGTGTGGTATTTGGCTCTGGGGACTCAAAGTTAATGGATTGCTCTTCCTGTTCTGAACAAGCTCTCAGCCTTTCTACATGTGAAGACTATAACCAAGTGACCCTTTCATGGGCTTTCCACTGAGGAAAATTGCCTCAGTTGCTCTCGTAGATCCTGTTTTCCCATTATGACTATTACTTATTGGACAGATAAAGTATGTCTTTATTTTTTTTTAATTATGTCTTTAAAGGAAAGAAAAACCATTCGATATAATAACAGTATTGTAATTCCCTATTATTTTCCATCATTTTAGTTTTAGACCCTACTCATTCAATAGTGGTTTTGAAATAGTAGTAATAAGAACATAAAGAAGATTTAGTGTATTCACTCTAACCTTTTCTATGCTAACACGTTTATATTACATCTTATAACATATTAAGATTATTTACTCTCGATGGAGTTATGGGTGTTTTGATTTTCTTCTTAATTCTTTTAAAAAATTTTATTGAAGCATAGTTGATTTACAATATCATGTAGTTTTCAGGTATACAGCACAGCTATTCAGATATATATATATATATATATATATATATATATATATATTCTTTTGCCTTATAGGTTATTATATAATATTGAGTAGAGTTCCCTGTGTTTTGCAGTAGGTCTTTGTTGGTTTTCTGTTTTACACATAGTGGTGTGTATATGTTAAATCCAACCTCTTAATTTATCCTTCCCCTTCCCACTCAGATTTTCTTCTTAATTTTTAAAAATTTTTTTCCAAGTCTCTACAATGACCATATGATCCATTTCTAAAAGGAAAGCATGTTTTAAAAGCCACTGTTCTCATATATCTACAAAAAATTTTCAAAGGTATAATTTACGTGTAGTGAAATGCATAGCTCTTATGGTTACTGGTAGATGAGTTTTGACAAATGTACCATGTATCTGCCCTCTTCTTAAGATAGAACATTTCCTCACTTCAGGAAGTTCCTTCATGCCCCTTCCAGATCAGTCTCCTCCCTGTCCTCCACTCCAGTCTGGAAATACAATCACTGATCTGATTGTTTTTATCATAGATTAGTTTTGCCTGTTCTAGAAGATCCTATAAATGGAATCACAGAGCGTCTACTCCTTTTTATGAGCATTGTATTTTTTGCAGTCCACCCATGGACTGCATGGTGCTATATCAACAATTTGTTCCATTCCTTTTTACTGCTACATATTTCTTTGTATCATGTTCCAATCTTTTGACATTTATCATCTTCATTATTGTTTTAATAACTGAGTAACAGTTCATCGATTGTGATACAATACCGATTTCTAGCTATTTGTTTTCATCATTCTTCCCTACATCCTCTGTTCCCTTTGCCTGTTGCCGTGAGGAGCCTTCCTTGGGGGGAATCCCCTGCCTTCCCTGAACAGGTGATGATACATTATGCCCTGGAATTGAATCAATATGGATACTTCAGAACTAACAGGAACAAATTTCCCCAGCTTATCTTGTTCCTGAAAAAAAGAGTCCCTAGGAATGCTCACAGATAAGCTATCTTTGCATGGTCCTCTGTCCATTCATCTTGTTAGATATTAATTTTAATCCCGTACTAGGTACCCACCACAGTATTTGCCTGGAGAATTCCATGACCAGAGGACCCTGGCAGGCTATAGTCCATGGGATCGAAAAGAGTTGGACACATCTGAGTGACTAACACTTCCTTAGTGTCTTTTAGCAATGCAGTTTGCTTTAAAGGGCAGTGTTTGAATACCATCCAAAATTCTTTCAATATCGGAATTCCGAAAGAACCTTGTGAAACATTCAACTCAGAAAGCTGTCTCCAGCGGGGGTCAAGGGCTGAGCTAGGCCATTTAGAATTTTGACAGCCAGTCACCAACTTGCTTGTTACTATTGACAGATAGTAGAAGAAAACAGGTAATATGCCTGCATTAATTTCATATGGCTGCCATAACAAAGTGCCACAAACTGGGTGGCTTAAATTGATAGAAATTTGTTGTCTTATGTTTCTGGAGGGTGGAAATCCAAAATCAAGGTATTGGCAGTGCCAAGGTCCCTCTGAAATCCAGAGGGGAATTCTTCCTTGCCTCTTTCTAGCCTCTGGTGGTTTGCTGGCAATCTTAAGCATTCTTCAGCAGAGACTGGAGTCAACAACATGTCACCATGTGGCTTCTCCCTGAGTGTCTTTGTCTTCACGTGCTGTTTTCTAAGGACATCATTCATGTTGAATTAGCAGCTTACCCTTGTACTCCAGTAGGACCTCGTCTTGATTTAATTTATTATAATTGGTTAATTAATTAATTTAATGACAATATTTCCAAATAAGACTGAGGTGCTGGGGGTTAGGACTTCAACATACCTTTTTTGGGGGAAGCAATTCAGTGCCCAAGGAAGTTTTTTAATTTTTATTTTATATGGTTTTTGGCTATGCTGGGTCTTTGTTGGGGTATACAGGTTCTTTGTTGCTGTGTGGGCTTTCTCCAGTTGTGGCAAGCAGGGATTACTCTCTAGTTGCAGTGCACAGGCTTCTCTTTGCAGTAGTTTCTCTTGTTGTGGGAGCACAGATTCCAGGATACGTGGGCTTCAGTAGTTTGGCATGTGGGCTCAGTAGTTGTGGCACATGGTGTGTGGCATCTTTCAAAACCAGGGATGGATGGAACCCATGTCCCTTGCATTGGCAGGTGGATTCTTAACCACTAACCAAGGAAGTTAATGTCATTGATTTCTCTTTTTCTCAGTCAAGTGTAGAAAAGTGATGAGTGTTAGAAGTTGACCACATTCAGGAGGTGAAAGGCTGGTCTTACAGCAGATAAGACCCTCACCCTCTAGGACCTAAAGCCTTTGGATGGGCTTGATGTGGACCACAGTGGGCATGAGAAGTCCAGCTTAAGGTGGACTAGCTCATAGAGCTCAAGTCTGACTTGCTAAAGAACTGCCCTATGGGTATAAAAATCCTCCATGCCTTTACAGGCCACATGTACATCCTTGAATCAAATTAAAGAGAGCCTTAGATCTATTTTACATTGTTTTTGCCACCATGTACAATGCTGTATTCTAGATTTTTCTTTGACATTACCCCATTGACTTGCATTAGGGATGTTATCAGAAACAGATATAAGAATCTCAATATTATATTTATTGTAGAAATGTTACTGAGGTCATGTTGAATTATACTGATGAGAGACACTCACGCCACTGAGTTGAGTTTTTGGTTTCGTATTTACTGTTTGTACTAAGCGTTATGCTGTATTATCCTCCTTCATTATTACAACAGCCCTGTGGATTGGTATCATTATTATTCTTAACATACAGGTGAGGAAAATGAAACTTCTCCTAGACTACAGAGTTAGGATGCGTTGAAGCCAAGAGTCCAACCTGGATCTGTTCAACTCCAATGCCTGTGCTCCTTCCCACTAAGCTTACTACCTCTCAAAATATGCCCACCATGTCTCCTTCACAGAGACCTACAGGTGAAATTTCTCCCAATATTAGGATTCTCTTTACAGAATTCATGACCCCCAAGTGATGCAGAGGAGATGGATCTGTCTGTCTGCATGAATCTGAGATTTTACTGGAGTCATGGGCACCAGGCTGTGGAGGTGCCTTTCAACCAAGGCTTATATAAGATGTAAAACCCTCTCCCTTTGCAGTAATTCATAGTGATGTCCCTAGGCTGGTCTGTGCTGTCACCATAACATCCTGCCACTGGTAATTTGGTAATTCTACCATTTGCCAAAAGAAGCATTATCGGAAAAGTCAGAAGAAACCTCTGTATGACCTCAGCCCTAAATTTAGCCTTGGCGATCTCTTCTTACTCTCAGCTTGTGAACTCTTAGCATCTTAAAAGCACATAACACCCATTATGAGCAGAGCAAGGTTTCCAGATGAATCTGAACTCCACTGCCATCTGGGAACCATGGATCTCAGGCAGATCCTCCCCCATCTGCTGTCTCCACCAATCAGATGCACATCACAGTGGCACATGCCTGACAGATGAACTAAGGGAAAGGGGATGACACA